ACACCCGCCTCCCTCAGCCTCGGGCTCCCTCCCTTGGCTGGCACCCGCACCTTCTCACACTCCCCCCTTCTCGGGCGTTGACCTCATGGCAGAGCACCACGGCCAGAAACTTGCGTGCCCGTTCTCTGGATTCATCACCTCTCTCTGCCCTGGGGATGCGCTGGCAGCATCATGTTCATGGCTGCAAACCCGGGGCCCAGCAGGCACTCAGGAAGTAGGAGCCAGAGGTCTGGATGGTGTCTCCGTCCACTGTGTGATGTTGGACAGGTCAGTGTCCCTCTCTGGGCCTCAGGGTTGCAGCTACAAATGAAAAGGACTAAGTGCCTCTCCAGGAGCCTTGTCAGTGGCTGTGACACCTCTCACCTGTGAAAGCGGATGGGCGGGCCTGGGCCCCGGGAGAGCACACGGGACCGGCCTCAGCCACCCAAGGGACAGATCACTGCCTCCGCTGACTTCCTAGTGCTTGTGCTTTTTTTTTTTTTTTTTAATGATTTATTTATTTGAAAAGCAGAATTATACACAGAGAGGGAAAGGGAGAGACAGAGAGCAAGATCTTCCATTTACTGGTTCACTCCCCAAATGGCCACAGTGGCCAGAGCTGGGCCAATATGAAGTCAGGATCCAGGAGCTTCATCCAGGTCCCCCACATGGGTGCAGGGGCCCACACACTTGGGCCATCTTCTGCTGCTTTCCCAGGTGCATTAGCAGGGAGCTGGATCGGAAGTGGAGCAGTCGGGACGGGAACCAGCGCCCATATGGGATGCCGGCACTACCACAGCGCCGGCCCCTCTGGGTGTTCACTGAGCACCCACAGCATGTCAGAGGCTCTGCAATGCCCAGGGAGGAATTCACGGCTCCTAACGGGATTAAAGCAACTTTGAGAGGAGACCTTTGACCTGGCCTATGCAGATGACTGTAAGCCCAGGCCAGCCCCTGTCCGGGAAACCCGGGCCCATGGCACAACCAGAACCAGGACAGCCCGCGTGGACTGGGCACTTTCTCTGGACCAGGCCTGTTCTCAGGGCTTCTCTCAATGACGACACCAAACCCTGCAGGAGAAGTGCCACAAGGAGCCCAGCGAGGGAACTGGGACACAGAGAAGTGAAGTGACCTGTCCAGGGTCACACAGCGAGTGGAGGGACAGCCAGGTGGGGTCGTGGTCTGGCCTGCAAACTCCCAGGTCAGAACACAGGGTGCAGGGCACTCCTCATGACGGAGGAGGAAGGCCAAGTCCAGGGCCAGAGCAGAGCTGAAGAGGGCCTGAGCTCCCCAGGGCTGCACAGCGCATGGGGTCTCGGGCCCAGCATGAATGCCCTCCTTGGCAGAGCCAGCTCCCCAGGGCCACCTCTGCCTCGGGCTGGGAAGGGCCAGGCCCCTGAGAGACCTTCGAGGGCGGGAGCAGCAGGCTGGACTAGAACCTGCAGGGAAGACCAGAAATGGGCACTTGGGGGTGTGGAGGACACAGGGGCAGGGCCCAGAGGTCTTTCTCTGCCAGCGAGGGACCGGGCTGGGGCTGTAGCCAGCGATGCACCTGCAGGTCACCCTCAGACACAGCGGTTCCTGGAGGTCTCGGAGGGTGACGTGGGTGTGCCAAACATGCCTGGCACTGGTCCCCACCCCAGGGTACAAGCCACAGGCTGCCGCCACCTGGCGACCTGCCCCACTGGGGAGGCAGGAAGCAGCCGGGTGCTGCCACTCACCATGGGGTCACCTCTCCCCTGTCCTGGGCCCTCGCTGGGTCAGCAAAGGAAGGGGTCTGTCTCCCCTTCTCTCCATCCCTGCCACACCCAGTGGCTCTGGGGCCTGGAACTTTTGATGTTTACTTTGTTCTTTCCCGGGTTCAAAAGGAGCTTGCAGCCCCGGCCCCGCACGGAGCCCGGCCTTAATCTCCCATCGCTCCCGCTCCCAGCTGGCCGGTTAAGGCGGTTAAGACGCTGGATTAGGGCCGGCTTTACATAACAGCGCAGGAGCTAGAGCCAGCCTCTCCTGGGATGGCTAAAAGACTTCTTTTTATCTTCACGCCTCAGATGGCCTTTTTTCTCTCCTAAAGAGCTCTCCAGCCCGCCAAGAGGCAATGAACTTGGCCAACGGGAAGACAAAGAAGAGATTGAGGACTCAGCTTGTCTTCCCTTGGCCAGAAGCACAGAGGGACACCCTGGGCCCAGGTCCAGGGCAGGTGGATGGTCCCCAAGCCACCCTCAGCCTGCTCGCCATGGCCACGTCCCCATCCTGGGTGGCCAGAGACCCACAGCCAGCCACTGGGCCCAGGGTCCTTTCGCAGGGGTCTCCAGGGCCCAGGGAACAGGTCCAGATATCCACCTGGCTCAAATCAGAGCGGCCCCGCTCTCTCTGCCTTATTTATTCTTTGCTTTCACTCTTAAATTGTTTCTTTTTTCTTTCTTTTTCAAAAAGACTTACTTATTCGAAACGCAGAGTGAGACAGAATATCTTCCATGAACCAGAGGAGTTCACTCCCTAAATGAACACAACAGCTGGGCCTGGGTCAGGCCGAAGCCAGGAGCCAAGAGCTCCATCTGGGTCTCCCACATGGGTGGCAGGGCCCCAGGGACTTGGGCCATCTTCTGCTGCCTTCCCAGCCTATGAGCAGGAAGCTGGATTAGAAGCAGAGCCGCTGGGATTCAAACCAGCACATAAGGGTTTAACCCACTGTACAACGACACCAGCTGGTTTCTAGTATCACAAGGAAATTACGATTATACTCTCGTTACAGAAGTTAAGGCATGAAGTACAGATAATACTGCAACCTCCTCTGAGCACCCTTTCCAAATGCAGTCCCTCCCCTGTCCAGAGGGGCCAGGTCACAGCCGTCCAGGCCCATGTCCACAGAACAAAGCACGTGGACCCCATATGAACACCATAAAGTGTCTGGTGCCTTCTGTTTGCGTGAACATCGTCACGTGGTGTCCACCCTTCTAGAATGATCTGCCACATGTACATGTTGCACTTCTCTGCCAGCTTTTGTTTGAAGAAAGGAGCTGCAAAGCTTGGCCACCAACAATCAATCCAGCCCAACTAGTGGCACCCAAGCCCCACCGGACACCAGCAGTGACTGGTAAGATGGCCAGCTGCCCTTGAAGCCTGACATAGGGCTGGTGGGCTAGGGGCTTGGACCCTTTCCCTGACAGGAGCCAGGACCCTCAAGTGCCTCACGCATGCTTGCCACCCTCCCACCAAGACTCCTAAGTGCCACCTCTAGCAAGGTGCATTCCTCCCTACAGGTGCCCACATCCTGAGTGCCCACTGAGTCTGGCTCCATGTCACCACCCCTCATGTTACAGGGAGGCAAGGGGGACCCAGAGACGGAGGACCTGCCCGGGATCACACAGCAAGTCACTGCCAGGGCTGGGAGAAGCCAGCTCCATGGCTCATTTCCTGTCTGTCTGCAGGCAAAGAGATCTCAGTTGAAACCAATTATGTGGTTTTAGGCTGAGCCTCACTGCACGGAAATGTCCCGTTTCTGGCTTTAAGAAGAGACCCAGTAAATGGCGGACAGGTTGATGACCCGTGATAAACACTAATGGGTCGCTGCTGAGCAGATGGGTGAAGGATGGAGGGGAGGGCGCCCCACGGTGCACAGGTGAAGCTGGCTGGCAGATGGGGCGGTAACAGAACAGGCAAATGAATGAACAGGCAATGGTGGAGGGCTGGGTATAACAGCAGATGAGTGGATGAGTAAGAATGCTGGATGGGTGATGGACAGGTGCAGATGAGCAACACGTGGACGGGTGGGTGGAGAGTGAGTGGGTGATGGACGGAGCAGAGGTTAGGGATGGGTAGACAAGAGAACAGGCCTGACAGTAAGTTCCCATTCAAACAGGCAAGGGAGGAGAAACCTGGAATGAGTGGTGAGGCCCATGTCCTGGGTGCCTGGGTCACCCTGCTCCCCATGCCTGTACCCTGCAGACCTCTAGGTACCAAATCCCAGCATCTCTCCATGCAGCCAAGGATACCAGCTGCGGCTTGGGGAGCCCAAGCCCCCGTGTGCAGGCACCAGGTCCACAGGCACAAGGGAAACACGTGCACAGAGCCTTCTGTCCGTACGACTCCACGCCCTTGGTTTGGGGCTGCTCCATTTGGAGCCAAGTTTGAGAGCTAGCTGGATCCCCAGGCCGCCTCCGACTTCCAGGCACCAGCGAGAATCTCTGCAAACAGTGCTGCTCCAAGTGCACCTGGGAGGTTACTGAAAGGCACAGTGGAGTCGGCCGGCCTGGGCTGGAGCCGCAGAGCCCACAGCTAGGACAGCTCCCAGGCCAGCTGCAGCCATGGCCCTCAGGTCTGGCCCAGGCGGCCCCTGACACCCTCCAGGCCCTCAGGACGCCCTGGGGTCTGGAGCCTGCCCAGACAACCCCCAGGGACCCCTGCACCCCAGCCTGCCAGCCAGCTGCTGCCCTGTCTTTGGCAAAGGGGCTCTGACTCTCCTGGGGCTGCCGCATCCGGCAAAGCCTCGCCCCCAATTCCAAGTGACAAACAGAAATGCCATCCTGTCTGGCAAACACACGCTGGCTTCGCGACACCATTCCCTCCTCGCTCTCTCCTGATTCTTGCTGCAAATTGGTGCCTGTCCTTGAAGGAAGGAAGGGGTGAGCTCTGAAGAGAGAGGTGAGGGGCTGAGGGTGCGTGAGCGAGTATGTGCACACCCCATGGGCACGACACGAGTGACTACACAGGGAACCAGGACAGCTGCATTTGCAACACCTTCTCTCTGCCCACCACTGTTTGGGGGGCTTCCCACAGCCCTGAGAAGCTGCTTTCATCACCCCCAGGGCAGGAGGCTGAGGTCCAACACCTGCCCCAGGTCCCACAAGTCACACAGTGCAGGGCCAGTGTGCAGGCCCGCATGGGCCATGCGCCCCCGGCTCCTCACTCCCAGCCCACGCCCACTGTGAACCACAGAGTTTCTGGTGTTGGCCGGGCACATGGTGGCCTGGACACCAGTTCACCCCTCAATGCCGCAGGGGAGAGCAACGGACGCCAAGTACCTTCCAGCCGGAAGTCCTCCTCTTCCTCCTCGCTGAGGGGCTCTCTGAAAACCTCGCCCACGAGCTCCTGGAGGAAGACAAAGCAGGGACAGTGAGGAAGGATCTCGGGGGGGGGGGCAGCCAGGGCCGGGCCGCAGCAGGCGGGGTGGGGACGACCCTGTCCTGAGGCTTCTGCTAGGAATTAGGTCAGCGGGGTGGATCCTGTGGCACCCGAGAAATCAACCCCCGTGACACTTCTGGGGGCCACGCTTCTCCCCCAGGAAGTCGGCCCCGCCCCACAGGTGCATAGACGAGACCAGAAGACGGGCCTCGCGGAGCCGGCCAAGACCTCCCCTGCCAACCCCAAGGAGAGACCTCAATCTGGGGCCTTCCTCCACCACGGGGTCCCAGGAGGGCGGTCTCATGGGCTTGTGAGGAAACCCACGGGGTCATCTGTGCTCTAGGGTGGGTGCCTTTCACCATACTCTTCCCACAGGTGCCGGCTCCCACTGGCTCTCCATCCTGCCTCCCAGCTCGCTGATGACACACACACACACACCCCTCTTCCAGGAGCTAGCCATCCTGCCTCCCAGCTCACCGACAACACACACACACACACACACACACAGCCCTTCCGGGAGCTGGCCAGATCCTCGCACACACTTTGCCTGCTGTCTTCCAGTGAGTTCGAGGTGTCCAGCGTCTCAGCCCACCTGGCAGGGCTCCTTCCAGCCCATGGGGCCGGGCAGCTACCCGGACGACGTTGGGTTTGCGAGGTGAGTTTGGTGGGTCCACAGGCTGGGAAGTTCCTGGGCTGCCAACAGAGCCCTGTCTAGCCCACCCAGGAGGACGGTGCTGGCCGCAGGGAAGGCCAGACCAGGGCTTATCAGCACTCTGCCAAGAAGAGTTCTCTGATCAAAGGAGGTCGCTTCAAACAGAGCTAGGCAAGGTCGCTGGCCGCAGGACTCATCAGAGCCTTTACTACGCTTATAAACACCGGGACTCTGAGCACTAGCATACAAGGCTACTCTAAAAAGCGCATGGAGAAATGCAATGGAAAGACAAGTTTGAACTGGCGCCAAACCAACTGAAATCCATGCATAATGTTTTCATCATACACATTTTCCGTGGGCCTTTTGAAGTACCTTTGTATACTATATTCTGCAAATCTATTTAAGCCACAGAGTTCTGTCTCTCAAACACGTCACACAGGACTCGAGTTCCAAGGAACCCACTTTGAGATGCACTCCTGTTTTGGGGGACAGACGAGGTTTGGGGACTTGCACTCCCTTCTCTGCTTGCACGGTGCTTCCCGACCCACAAAATGATGAGCAGTCCAAAAGCTGAGCTGTCACCACCTCCCCTTTGTGAGAAGAACAAACACTCTCTCCTTGAGGGGGAGGAAAAAAAAAAACAAAAAACAAAAAAAAAACAAAAAAAACACCAAAACCTACCGCTCCGCAGCTTAAAGGCAAAACTAGTCCTCGCCCTGATAAACCCAGGGAGGCTTCGCACAGCTGGTCTCCTGGCTGGACGCAGTGGGGGGCAAGCACGCGGGGTTTGCGGTTTTGTTTTAGAGTCAACCGGCACCACTGTGTGCTTCAGGGCTGCTTTGCCTTTCCCGGGCAACGCACTCTCACAGGTTGCTCAGAGGCAGCCATTCCGACTCCTGGCGCCCCATTTCCCTTCTAAAACCAGCATCAGGCGGCGTCTCTCTCCGCCTCTGCCGATTAGTATAATCACCCAACATTTCCCGGGCTTGTAAACTGGCTGTTTGCGTTAACAGAGCTGGAGTTGACAGGGGAGCTGGGAGCCGGTGACAGGAAAGGGACGTGCACAGGTGGCATCATCAGATGGCAGCGACATCCTGGCAGCCAATTAAAGCTCATCTCTCTTATGGGAGCGAGACAGATGCCACCTGGCAGGAGCAAGCGACAGTCTTCAAGGGACTACACAAGGGACTGCTGAGGTTTCTGTGCGGGGGGTGTGGCCCCGACCTCAGACAGCACCCTGATCGCACCACACATGGCCGCCTGCATCAGTGAGATGCTGGGACTTCACACCCTCTCATTGCCACACGTGGACATCACTTCGGACGAGGGCGTGCTGGGTGGGACCCCTCTGCCAATGCCCACATGTGCACAAGGCACCCACTCTGAGGACAGAAGCAGCGCCCCCTGGTGGGAGCAGCAGGCTGTCTGACACACTCAACAAAGCTGACTTCCAGCAAGTTCTGGGTCGGCCTCTTAGTGCTACACGGTCCCCCGCTCTGGGAACAGGATTATGGCAGAGTCACCTTGTCCACTGAGCCACACAGCCCAGGGTTCGTGACGCGCAGGGTCTGAGCTCCTTAAGCTTTGAGTCCCTAGAGCAGAGGCCGGGGGGATACGGAGCTGGACACAGCGTCATGCGCTGGCTCCACTAGCTTCTGTTGCTCTTGGACCTCAATCTCCTTCTCTGTAAAATGGGGCAGAGGAATAAACCACAATAATGTAACAACAGACGCTTATTATGCATTTGCTGCTTCTTGCAGGGTGCGAGGCACTTTTCATATTCAATAAACCCCTTGCATTATCACAACAGCCTGCTCTTTGTATCTCTCAAAGAACACAAGCTCTGGAGCTGGCACTGGGGCATAGTGGGTAAAGCCGCTGCCCGCAGTGCCAGCATCCCATATGGGCACCGGTTTGAGTCCCAGCTGCTCCTCTTTGATCCAGCCCTCTGCTCTGGCCTGGGAAAGCAGTGGAGCATTGCCCAAGTGCTTGGGCCCCTGCACCCATGTGGGAGATGCAGAAGAAGCTCCTGGCTCCTGGCTTCAGGTGGCCAACTGGGGAGTGAACCAGCAGACAGAAGATCTCTCTCCCTCTTTCTTTCTATCTCTTTTTCTCTCTGCCTCTGCCTCTCTGTAACTCCACCTTTCAACTAAATAAATAAATCTTTAAAAAAATAAAACCTCACAAAAATGAGGTGCAAATTGTCACGTGATGGGGATCCTGGTCATCACTTTTTTTTTTTTTGCAGAGTAGGATGACACCATGGGACAGGAAAAGGGTGCTAATGGCAGTACCACGGGCACACAGCAGGGAGGCCGGCAGATGGGGTCCCCACAGGCACTCTGGCCAGGCCTCCCCATCGCCCTATGTTTAAATGAGGAGATGGCACCAAGAGGCCAGTGAGAGGTAGGGTCAAGACTGGAGCCAGCTCCCAGGCTGCCCAGCCCGTGTTCAGGGAGAGCATGGTGACCGGGTCACCTGTTGTCTCCTCTGAGACTCTTGTGCCAATCGTCCCCACTGCGAGCTGTCATGAGGGTGGGAACTGAAGCCACCCGGGGGGCTTGGGGAGTGATTAGGAGTGCATAAGGTCATTAGGGTGCAGCCCCCATGATGGAAGCCTAGAGAGAGACCTCGGGACAGATATACACTCACACGCACACTCGCTGTCTCTCCCCACCTGATGTGCTGCTCCAGCTCAGGACGCTGCCAGCAAGAAGGTCATGGCCAGATGTGGGCCCAGGCCTTGCACCAGAACTGTAGGCCAAGACAAACCTCCTTTCTTTATAACGTACCCAGCCTATGGCAACCCAACCAGGACACAGTGGAGTCAGGCCTCCTGGGAGCAGGGACCACACTTAGAGAAGTGCGAGAAAACCAGCTCGGGTACCGGGGCCAGCGGCCACCTACTCCCGTCTGCCCCGCAGACAGCACCTACCCAGGGCTTGGGGACTCTGCCCCACCCTCATGCCAGGCACTGGCTGGAGCCTTGCATTGCAAGGTGCAGGAGCCAGGTCCTAGTCACATCCTGCAGGAAGGCAGGTGCTGGTGGAGCCCGCTGTGAGACCCACAGCAGCCAAGAACCCCCACCACCGGGCGCCTCAGAGCGGAGGGCAGTGGACTGCGGTCCATCAGACCTCGGTTCAAATCCCAGCTCTGCCTCGCACAAGCTGCTCAGCGGCTCCCCATGAATGAGTCGCGGGGGCGGGGCCCAAGAGCACGAGGAAGCCACTGTGTCTAAAGCCCGAGGCGCTGTACCTGATCCCATGAGCATCACTCCTGCACCAAGGACACTGCCGGGAGCCCTCACGGACACCTGGAAACACGACCTCGTCCCGCCTAGAGCTTTGCCCTTGATCCTCAGGGCGGTACCCTATGCCAAAGGGCTTTTCCTATTATTCCCACTTTAGAGATGAGAAAACCAAGGCCCAGAGACACCAAGGGACTTGTGCAAGGCCACACAGAGCCAGAGCCCACATCCTCCCTTCACGGCTGCGCTTCCTTCATTGCTTCTGTTTTCCACTGGGCCATCCAGCCCGGCCCCTCGAGTCCTGGGCCTCCCCGACTCTGGCCTCCGGCACAGTGGGCCTCAGCCTCTGCTCCACGTTCTGACCCAAAGATCCTTCTGGGTCCACAGAGCCCCCGCCCCACGCAACCTGGGGCCAGGCTGCCCCTTGGCTTGGTGGTCTCGGAGACCACACAGTCCAGCTGTGCCTCCCTCCTGCATCCCAGCACTGCCCCCTCTGCCCCACACTGGGCCCCAGGAAGAGAGGCCAGCTCCCCCGGGCACTGGGTGTGCGGCCAGGGCCAGCCCAGAACCCAGAATGCAGGCACAATGCCTTATAAGGCCTCCGGGGACTGGAAACCCACATCAAAGAGGGGCCTTGGGGAGCGGGCTGGGGTTGGGTTGGGGCTTTTCCTCTTTGTCTCTGTGACTTCAGCCTCCGGAACTTAATATCCCCACCGCCGCCCGCCGGCCCTGGCGGGTCGCTGTCAATCTCTCTGTTCTCTGAGAGCTAACAGATGTTGGTGCCACGGCCTCAAAGCAAACTCCTGGTGCCCACAGAACACGACCCAGCTCACAGATGCCAGAAATGTATACGGCTGGGGCATGCTGGGGGAGGACAAGCTGGGGCTGGGGACCAGGACCCGGCCACCCCCGAAACCCTGAGATCCATGCAGCCCGCCCTGGAGCTGCCCCCGGAAATTCTTGGCGAGTTCTCTTTTCCCAGCACTGTACGGATGCAGCTCAGCCACGCCTCCCGAGGCCTCACTCAAAGTGAGCTCCCGCCTTCCTGTCCCTTCCTGGGAGGCAGGATGAGGTGCCTTGCTCCCCAGCACCCACAGGGACCTGGCTCTGGGCCCAGGCTCACCCAAGGCAGCTGCATGGCAGCAGACACGTGACTTAATTTTGCTGGTCCTCTTTTCTCCTCTTCCATGAAATAGGGATTTCAGGGGCCAACATGGTGGTGCAGTGGGTAAAGCCACGGCCTGCAGTGCTGGCAATCCATATGGGCGCAAGTTCAAGTCCCGCCCGGCTGCTGCACTTCTGATCCAGCTCCCTGCTAATGTGCCTAGGACAGCAGCGGAGGATGGCTTGAGTGTTTGGGCCCCTGCACACACATGGGAGACTCAGAGGAGCCTCCTGGCTCCTGGCTCCTGGCTTGTTCCATCCCTGGTCATTATGGCCATTTAGGGAGTGAACAAGTGGATGAAAGATCTCTCTCTCTCTCTCTCTCTCTCTCTCTCTCTCTCTCTCTCCTCTGTCTCTCTAAGTCTGCCTTTCAAGTAAATAAATAAAGTATTTTTAA